GTGTGTGTGTGTGTGTGTGTGTGTCTGTCAGTGTGTGTGTGTCTTTGAGCGTGTGTGTTTGTGTGTGTGTGTGTGTGTGTGTGTTCTAAAGTAGTTCCAAAGTAGTTCCAAAGCATGCTTATGTCAGTCATAAAGGGGCTTCTTGTTCTCCTGTCCTGGATTTATTATAATAAAGTTAACTCTATAGTACAGCATTGGCTTCTTTTTGCTTTTTTATTAGCAGACCTCATACCGCCATTATGATTTGTCTTTATTTCTTGACTTGGAATACATCTGAAAGAGGACATATTCTGATCATTTTCAGGTTCATATCAGTATCTAGTGCCTCTACTGGGACATGTCTCCATTCTCTAATGTTCAAAAAGCTCTGATTGGTTAGCTGGCTGGCGCTGTTACATTACATTACATTACATTGCATTTAGCTGACGCTTTTATCCAAAGCGACTTACAATAAGTGCGTTCGACCAACAAAGTACAAACTTGAAGAAAACAGAATCATATAAGTACATCAGGTTTCATAGAGCCAAACATTTCAAGTGCTAGTCAACTGGCTTTAGATAAGCCAGCCCTTTATTAGTATATAAGTGCTTTGTTAGTAATTCTATCGCTCGAATTAGAGTCGAAAGAGATTAGTTTTCAGTCTGCGCCGGAAGATGTGTAAGCTTTCTGCTGTCTTGATGTCAATGGGGAGCTCATTCCACCATTTTGTAGCCAGGATAGCAAACCCACGTGTTTTTGCTGATGGGAACTTGGGTCCCCCTCGCAGTGCGGGTGCAGCGAGCTGTTTGGCTGATGTAGAGCGGAGTGCACGTGCTGGGGTGTACGGTTTAACCATGTCCTGGATGTAGGAAGGGCCAGATCCATTCGCAGCATGGTACGCAAGTACCATTGTTTTGAAGTGGATTCTAGCAGTTACCGGAAGCCAGTGAAGGGAGCGGAGGAGCGGCGTGGTGTGGGAGAATTTAGGAAGGTTGAAGACCAACACAACAGAAGGCTGTTGTGATTGGTCAATCGATTAGAGATGTCCCGCCCCTTAGCCTATCACGTTAAATATGTTGGAGCGCTAGCTAGTGTTTTGTAGTGATGTCACTTTGTTCCGGATGTAAACACACTAACACAGGAGTCGAATGGAGGCGTTTCAGGCTAGGGGGGAGGAGTGTGTGGGAGAGCAACTCCCTCTGGAGCGAACACAGAGATGTTAGCCTTTGCATACCATTTACATGCACAAAAACCTATAGAACAAAAAGCAAACCTATTATTATGCTCTTGAATTGGAGGTTTCCATTTAATTTACATCTGCTAAGGTAGTCAAGTTTTAGTCCTCCTTTAAGAAATACAAATAATTAATTTCAATTTATCGTTAATTATAGAAAAAATAAAAGCTACTAAAATGAGGATTCCCACCACCCAATGGTGACTGAGTCATCGTTCAGCTGGAACCTGCTACAGAGCTGGAGTCATCACAGACTCACGTTAAGCCTCAGGGATTCAGCTGTTGATCACATACTCTGCTGCTCAGAGTAACCCTATAAATATGAACTGTGTAATAACTGCAAATATCAAGTGCCATAAAAAGGAGTTGTTACCTCATAAACTTGCTTTAAGTCTGGGCAGCGTTTCCATGAATGACATGGTGGCTTTACCATTCAAAACCTTTTGACTTGTTCTACCAAAAGGACTTTGTTAGGAACTTTTTGTTCATGTCTCTCCCTCTTGATCAAACTGGAGACATTAATCTCTGGGTTTATACATTCTTCATGCCACACAAACACTTGAGCACATTTTCAGATTTACCCTAGAGCTTACCCAACGTATGGATCTGGAACAAGTAGTTATGGTTCCATCTTTACTCTACAGTGGATTTAAGTGCCATGTTTGAATTGTAAGGCACCTCAATACTGCCATTGTATATCAAGATAATATTGAACAATTTAAATATGTGACGCTCATTTTTCTGCCTGTGTTTATCTGAAGTGCTTACCTATTCGACATGAATAAGTTAGCATTTAGTTTGATTATCTCTGCCCTGTCTAGCATTTACACTATGAACCACAGCACTGGGGGTTTGAGAACACGTTGCAGTCAGTTGTTGTACAAGTCCTCTTTGGGGTTTTTTCAAATTGTATTTACAGCAACCAACTTCTATTAATATACTAATAAAACTTTCTGTACTGCTTTGAGCACATTATATATCTACCGAATGAACATCCTATGCTTTCTGCTCATGTTATAAAGTTGTTCTGTTGTTTGTGTTCTCTAGACCTAGATGAGTGCCAGGACCAGCAGACCTGCACCCGGGGCCACTGCCAGAACACTGAGGGGTCCTTCCTCTGCCACTGTGGCCCCGGCTTCAGAGGGTCTTTGGCTGGAGACGATTGTGATGGTATGAAGTGTAGTTCCAACAACATTTTAAGGACAAAACTAAATTATGAGTAAAAATGTGTAAGATTTAACTCATTAAGAAATGGAACAGTTAATAATAATAATAATACATATTTATATTAGTATTATTTCTCAAAGTCTGTGATTTTAACTGACAAGGTACACGTGATTGCACCAACTGCGCTTTTTTCTCTCCATATGAAATGTATTTGATATCAAATTAAATAATAAAAACTGATAAATATTGAATCAATTGATACATAAATCAATAATTATTACAATATTTTACAGATTAATCGTATAGCTATATTAATGGGTGATTAACTTACATACGATTCAAAATATGTGAGAATTATTAAAAAACACAAAAGAATGCAGAGATAACCTAATTCTCAGATTTTAGTTAGGTTTCAGTTTCATATCAGGCTTTTTGGTATTTTCTATACATTTTCCCACTGCTTTTATTGTCCAATAACAATATATTAGTTATTAGAATGTTTTATAACCATTTCAGTGACACTTGTGGTCCTCCATACTAAAATGTAATAACAGGTCATTTAAGTCATTTGTCCAGACTTCATTGGTCCCCATAATCAAAACATCCTTTCTTATGATCTTATTATATACGGTATAATATTTAGAGCTTAAAGAATTTCAACCTGAAAACAACACTCACAACATGATATGTGTGTTTTCCAGATGTGGATGAGTGTTTAGAAGAAGCCCGGCCCTGTGAGTCCGGAGGGGAGTGTGTGAACAACATGGGGTCCTACACCTGCTCCTGCCCCCGGGGGTACCGGCAGGTCAACGGCACCCGCTGCTCAGGTGAGACATTTAAAGATCAGGAACTGTAGGATGGCAGTTAGAAATAAACGGGGGGCACAGATTGCATCGAGTGGTAAATTAAATACATTTTTCTTGAATGTACACGATTTGTACATTTCTTCCAATTTCCTCTTTTATTTGAAGTAACAGGTTCAGTTATGATGTGATTTTTTTTGTAATTCTTATATGGCGTAAATAGGCGGCAATTGATAGCTTTCATGCGGTTCATGAGTATGATGATGCACCAAACCAAGCAGCTTTGCTGTTATCTCTGATCAGGAGTTTTAGTTTTGTCCAGCCAGCTGAGAAAGCCTGGCTGTGTTTCGTAGTCTACCCCCCTGGATTCAGATGTTACTGTGTGTATACTGCTGCTTGGAAGGATAAACAAACACACACAAACACAAACACCTCTCAGTGTCTTCAGTCTCTATGCTTCCAGATGTTGATGAGTGTGTGGATGAACCAGAACTCTGCTCCCCCCACGCGGAGTGTCTCAACACAGAGGGGTCCTATCTGTGTGTGTGTGAGAGCGGGTTCAGTGCCAGCATCCACACGCCCTCCTGTGACGGTAAGATGCTACTACAAAAGAAAAGAAAAAACAAACATGCATTCACCTAAGCACACACACACACACACACACACACACACACACACACACACACACACACACACACACACACACACACACACACACACACACACACACACACGCGCGCGTGCACACACACACACACACACACACACACACACACACACAGCTTCTCCTCCTCTGTATTTTCATATTTCCCTTAAAACAGATTGTAGAAGTGACATTAATGAGGAAATGTAGTGGATTCAACAAAATTTTACTGCAGTAGACACATGTGCTTAAATAGTTAACATGTTGATGCTGACCAAAAGTAATGATCATTCAGTAGCACACATGTCTTCAATTATGTAATTTTATATTTATTTTGTCAACAAACCTCTTGAAAAGATCAAACCCAACAATGTGTCTTTCAGTGTTCACTGCTGCATGTGGGACTCAGATGCAAGTCATTTTCTACTTAACTTTCTTATTTGCCTTTAAAGCTGGCCACTGCAGTTTGAATCAAACTGTAATCAAACAGGAGATTCAGTGCATTTGTTTGGGAGATTATTCCACATGGTGCTGGAGTGAGTATTTGTGGGGGAGGGAAAAATTATGTGGGATTGAGTCAAAATGTACTAGTCTTTGTTCATTGTAATGAAGGAACATGCCACCCAGTTCAACAGGGTAGCTCATATATTCGTGACATAGATTGTCATAAAGTGTGGTACATTCATTCACAGAGGATTAACCCTAAGCACTCTAGTGTTCCCCTAACTATTCAGTTTTTACACAATGAGTTTGGAATTGGTGTTTTTTAGTGAAATGTCTAAACAACTGTTGTCAGTATACAATTTGGTATAAACATTCATTGTCTCCACAAAATATTTCTTAATGACATTGTGAATCCTCTGAATTTTAATGCAGTATTATCCTCAAGTTATGAGCAAAAACTAAAGCCATTCCTAAATGTAACCATGCTAACAGGCTAAACAAACATAGTGAACATAATAAAAAGGTCATTATTGCCATTGTGATAACGCACTGTGTAATAATCTTGTCCTCTAGTACGAATATGTTGCTTGTCGATATAAGTGAGAATGATTCATTTTCTCACTGCAAGAAGAGGTTTTATTTGTCATTTATCTCAGTTTAAAGGACGTTCTTTTATTTTTCACACATTTTGATGAATATTCCATCTTATAAAACGCCTTAATAAATATACCACACATTACCTTTTCACAATGTACAACCACAAAACACAGAAAGTGTCTTTCTTTCTTCTTTTAACATAGTCTGCATCTAGCACGTCCCTTAATTTCTGCCTTTTATGAAAAAAGTCTTGAAGTTCTTACGCATATAGCATGCTGCTCATATTTTCTGCAGGATGACAGCAGAGCTGGCCCCTGTGCCAGAGCTGTTTAATGCCATTTCCTGCCTGCAAAGAAAATGGAGAGAAAAGAGAGGAGAAGAAACAGACGGAAGCCTTTGAGCTGGCTGTCTAGACGAGGAGGGGGGTGGTGTGTGTGTGTGTGTGTGTGTGTGTGTGTGTGTGTGTGTGTGTGTGTGTGTGTGTGTGTGTGTGTGTGTGTGTGTGTGTGTGTGTGTGTGTGTGTTCAATAAGAAGGAATATATAAGAAAAACAAAGGAAAAGCACTTAGGCTGCATTTCTTAAACAGATGTTGATATAACTTAGTGAAAACATGATCTTAGAGAAACAAGACTATTATGATACCTAAAAGGAATGAAACAAAGCATTTGACATGTGTTGGCCGTGTTTCTCTGCTCTTCAGATATCGATGAGTGTGGGCTCAACGACACTCTGTGTGGCCCTCACGGCTTCTGTGAGAACCGGCTGGGGTCTTTCCGCTGCCTCTGTGAGCAGGGCTACCAGGAGGCCCCGGGGAGCCAGGGCTGTGTGGGTGAGTGTGGACCTCTCTGTGTGTGTACATTCAGCTAGGAGTATTCTATTTATTACTTTAAGGCTAGATTATTGCAATTCCTCACTTATCCGCCTGTCCAAAAACATCCATTTAGACTCAGTTTGTCAGGGTGTGGCACCATCCATGGACCCAAAAGCAGTAAAAAAGAGGACTGCAGGTATTTATAACCAAAAGCTGATATACATAAGCAGTTTCACACAAAAACAGAAGAACCAGGCACGGTAGAGGAAAACAAGAAAAGAAAAACAGTCCAGGGAGCTCGAAGAACAATGGAAGGAACGTTGACAGGAACACAGAGAACCAGGAACCAGATGGAAACTCTGGGTGTTTCTCAATGTCGAGGAAGGCTCCTCCAGAGACACTATTTCAAGGATGCTACGTCATCGAGTCCTGCCGAAGGACTGTTCCAATGTCCAGCATACTTGGAATTCTACCGAGGCCAGCGTCCTTCTTTGCGGGAAATTTCGAGGCTGCACATGTATATCCTCCGCGGTCTTAAAATCCCCACAATGCTTTGCGCACGGACCAATTTCCAAATCTTTGGCGGGGATCGCGCTCCATTTAAGGCGGGGCCTCGCATATGACGCACACTTGTTAGCCTGTTCTACAATTCTTCGTTTTCCGAGGCTAGGAAGGATTCTTGCCTCGCTTCTGAAGCAAGTGACTCGGAGGTACATGTGCTACCAAGCAAGCGTCCTCGACATTGAGAAACACCCAGAGACTTCAGAGTCACTGAGTCAAGCCCAAACCTGAGACTCTTGCAGATGGGCTCAGTTCCGGTGTGACTTGAAGTCAACCCGGAGTCCCAATAAAAAGTCCAAAAGAAATTTTTGTCGACGGTTGTATAAAGAAGGG